AGTGAAGGACCTCTCTCAGTTGTGACAGTGGTTGAACGGACTGGCGAATAGACTGACTACACAAGGTGTGAAGACTGACAGAGCATCGGTGAAATATTAATTTATAATTATCTCGGCCATCCTGGACAGTAGAAGGAGGTGAAGGTGGATCATTGCCCCTCGTATCTGACCCGGCCTTGTGTGATAATCATGAAGACTTTGATAGCCAACCAATCAGTAAAAAAGGTGCCTAAGATTTGACCCCTTCAAATCCCCCAACCCCCCCTCCCCCCAGCTCACAAACTCACTCCTGCCATCTTCGCCTGCTATGCAAGACTCAGGGTCGAGACGAGTGAACTCACCCACCGTCACAATCCAACCTCACAAACACTGAGAGTTATGAATGTCTGAAACTAATCTTCAACTGTCAATCACGTGAAAATGACTGGTTGGACTTTTCCATGCAACGGTGAAGATTGTATGCAGCCCAAATTCACTAGAAGCCTTAAAAGAGGGGGTTTGAATGCTAAATTTGTGCCCTTGTCTGTTCTTGGATCATTTGCACTACAAAAATAAATTGGGGAAAATACTTTTTAATCAACAGGGATTTGAAGAGAAAACCACAGGAGCGCAATAGTCAGTGCTGTGCCAGCAAGATCCAAGAGAAAGGAATCGTTTGCATAGAAAAGTGTTTGTTTTTTTTTTAATGCAAACCCAACCGAGAAAAACAAAGAGACTCAAAACAAGGAGAAAAGACTGTCACACCACTGCCTGCCTATAATAAATTTCAAAAATACAGAACCAATAATGTAATTTTTTAAAAATGATTATTTCCAGAGTTTAATTTAAATATGACACACTGCTCTTTATATGTTTTATAATATTATTTTGTATATAATGCATATTTATAAGGACCAAACTTCTGAAGAATAAAACTTCCTTGAAAACTGTTCAATTTGATGTCAGTGAATGGAAAAGGAAATTATTTTTGAGGGTGTTTTTAAAATAATGAAACTGAGTACAAATGATGACCAAATGTGTGCTGCATTTGTTTTTGATCTGAGATTCATTTAAGGGGAGACTGTTTCATCCTGTACTCAATTTATATTGCTCAGCTAGATCTTTTAAATTGCGAGCAGCTTTATGAATATGAAATCCAGCTGCTCTCCTACATTCACACATCATATTTAATGTTTTGGACATTAGGTAGAGACATAAAGCCCCCTGACTGGCATCAGTACTTCAAGTAATTCCTGGAAACGCCTTTGGCTCCCAGCCCACTCACCCACTCCTCGTTCTCTCTCTGGCCCTAAATTGGCTTGAAATTCAAATCCGTTTCCACGGATACCACCCCCTCAAGCTGGAAATGGCGAAACAAAGCCAGGCGCAGGGCAAAGGGGAACACCCCCCCCCACCCCACCCCATGTCTCATAATGCTCACACACACGCGTCCACGAACACACACACAGCCAACCAAACAGATGCCGTGGGGGGAGCATGGAGTGAGTCTGTGGTGCCATAAAAACAGCAGCATATGCCAGGCCTCTCGCCCCGTGTGCATGACACACAGAGTGCACAGACCCCCTCCCCATAAAAAACACACATGAGCACTTACAGGCTCCCCAACTGCCTGCCTCCCCTTCAGGGTTAAGAGCAATATTTCACTGCCCGGTTCTGTGCTACCCACTCCTGCGAACAAAGCTAGGGAAGAGGGCCTGGCACTGGGGCTGTCACCGGAGGGGAGGGGAAACCAGATGGGAGCCAGTGGATCTGCTACGAATCCACATAAATAAAAAAAGAAGAAAAGTTTACTTGCCAGAGCAATCTAGTCAGTCTTACTGCCCCTTGAGATATCAGCCTTAAAATGTGTTCCAATGTGTCTAAAAAATCCATTTTGAGGAAATGTGTCATCTGCATTATCAAATGCAAAACCTCTCCTGCCTCCAGTTAACAGAAATCCTGCGACAGTCAACACCCCCTAATCAGCAGCAATCAACACTCGGCAGAGAATCTGGATGGCTTTTCCCTTCACATACATCCTGTTAGCCTGTTGACCTAGGCATCCTCATCTAAGGGCTAGTGTTGTGTGTGTTAAAAAAAAAAAAAAAAAAAAAAAAAAAGTTTGGAAAATGGTGCTTCCGGCCTAGCTCAAGAAAAACACACATGTTATCACAACAATTAATCATCTAGTTAAAGCCAGCCCCCCCCACATGGTTTGGTCTGTTACCTGACCCAGCCTGAAGAGTTTCTTCCCACCATCATCATACTCACACCTATATCCAGACACACACCCTCATTCGCTCTTGATCCCAGTGGCAAACACATGCTAGGGCTTTGCTCTTTGGCCTCTGGGTCTCCATAGCATGGCCAGGCATTTTCATTGTGTTATAATCACAGCATCCTGTTTGTGACCCTGTGACATCAGTTCCTGTTTCCTCCCTGATTAAAAAATGCAGAACATGCCGGCGCGGGCCAACGCTTTTTCTCACGCATCGCTTTCTTCAAACCGCAATCACTCGCGCAGATGACTTTGGGTTTTCAGGAAACAAACCTCAAAACAACCGAGAGCGCAGACAAACACACTAATCAGCACTATTTATTCTGAAGAAGGAAGTGGGGGAAATCTGTGATATTGATGTCATGAATGGGGAATCAGGAAGCAGATTTGAAATTCAAATCTTCCAATCTCTCTATGAGGAATGTGAAAAGTCCCTCTACATCAAACTTGTGTCACTCAATCACAATCAAGAGTGCAAAACTGCTACTTAGCTCTGGCTTTCTCTCCTTTGCTGCATCTCTTTTCATTGAAAGCGTCATTAAAGCATGTTTCTGCACATGCATGTGCAGGCAGATTATACTGATACATTATGATGCTGTCACTCTCACAGTGTACTGTAACGTTTCCCTACGCTGCACTTGCAGTCGTCTCATTAATTAACACTAGGTGTCAGTAAGAAACCCACACACAGGAAATAAGTGGTCAGTCCCTGCCCAAACAAAACCTCACACAAGTTCAAGTTTAAAGCAACATGATTAAAAGAGCAGTATGTAACCTAAATACTTAATAATAGAGCATTCAATTATAAATACATGATCTATAGAGGGGTAGGACTGGGGGAAAGGGACTGATTATACGGGGCCCTGGTGTTATAAGGGCCCACAGAGATACTAGAATGAATAGCTGTGGATGCTGGGAGGAGCCTATAGAGAATGCATATGTACACGGTCCAGGACTTCGTGCTACATCCCTGACAGTGCATCCAATAATTCAGACAAACCTACTAAAAGAATCTGTGACAAATCCTTTCAGTGTTATGCATGTAGTGTTATACAAGTACAGTCACATTCTTTAGGATACAGAAGAATGTTTCCACATGCAACCTCCGCCTTCACTGCCGCAGGACCTATACATGCAGTCTATCTTGTTTATCTGCATATACTATATACTGTATCCTGTGGGCCATAAAAACAAGCATGGACACGATGATATTAGGGCAAAGTCCATACAAGTCACAGTATAAGTGGATATTTTATTATGGGCCTTCTATTTCAAATTGTTTGAGAGCAAAGACAAATAGTGAATATTTGAGAAATCGACAAGTCAAAACATTGAATCAGTGCACTAGATTAGATTACAGGCATTGGTGTCAGTGTGGCTTAGTTGAAGCCTTTAGTGGCCTTAGAGCAAGCGGCCCAGAGATACTGTAGCAGCAGGCTTGAGGAGTGGATGGACGTGAAAGGCCGTGAAAGGCGTAATGGGATGGAGGCTTGTGCATGACACAGGGTCGCTCAAAGGCCTGGATTGTGTGGTGCTTTAGATTTATGAAGAGCTGATACAGTTGTCTGGCCTCTTATCAAGGCAGATAATGCCCGCTATTTATAGATAATCTATCTATTGAGCACAGATGAGCCGCTGCTATTACACTATATCAGATCCAGCAGGAGTGGTCGGCATTTTGGTACATTTGATCAGGTCTTTCATCTTTCTGATCACTGTTCTGTCTTGTGTCTCTGCTGAGTGCAAGCATCTGGTTTATTAGGAGTGAACATTAGGGTTGTGTCGACAAACAGTCTAAACCTGGGATGGTTATCAAACAGCATGCATATGGCTGCCAGACCAGCATGTTTGTTGAGTAAAGTGTATAAAAAGGGACTTATGTGTGTGTTTACAAAGTTGGAATAAATCTGCAAGAGTAGGATTTCTGATGAGCCTGATAACAGGCTGACCCTGAGCCAACCAATCACATGTGGCATGTCAAAATGACCCTACCTGCTAGAAGTGACAACAAAAAAACGAAACTGTGATTAAACACAAAACAGCAAATTCAAAAAGAAAACTACGTGTTCACCTCCCTTCAACAAGTATTGAGATATATGTGGTGGTGCAGGATCTTTAGCTGTCAGTGGCCTTTGTTGTGCCATTGGCTCTTTGGTCTGGGACTAGATTACAGCCCTCACTTGCCCTGAATCATTTAAACATCCATGTAGGATGCTTATTTACTTGCTCACAGAGATTTCCATCCATACTGTGTTCAGGTCATGTTATTCCGAGAGGGATAATTATTTATTATTCATTGTTTTTCTTTTTTTTTTGGTGGCATATCTTGTGAAATGCATCGCCCTATGTAGGCCTCTCTCTTTTAAATCACAACTGATGCAATGTCTTGGTATGTTGCCTGGTTGCGGCTATGGCCCTGAAATGCTGTGGGAAGTTGCATCAGCCAAATCAAGTCTGAACCATATGGAAATATATTCAGAGAATGACAACACAGACAGCCAATCATACATTGAGTCAGTTGAAGTGACAGCTCATCGACCAATCACATTCAAAGGTTGGTGTGCGTCTAAAGTCAAATATAAGCCAATCGTATAACCGGTTTTGTTTGAAGTCCCGCCTCATTCGGCGCACCGAAACCTGATTGGGTAAAATATGATGAAGGACAATTCTTTCTTAAATATTATTGGTGGAAACCCCTAGAATGGACTCGCCCACCCGCCCCGGACGGTATAAATACGTGAGCGCCGCTTCGCCATGTTATCGAGGAAACGCTTCTTGTCCCGGGAGAAGATTAACCGAAGGGGGCTTGAAACGCCGACAACATCAAATCAAAACCTCGATCTTTTTAATTCGTTAACTTTGAACTCGTATTTTAAGCAGGCCGGCGAACCAGCGGGCCTGAACGGGTTTTGATTCCGCCCCATTGATTAGAAGGCCAAAGCGGCTGCCATGGATTTTTAAGGCATAATGCGGCACCTTTAATGCAACGGCAATGCATAGTGCAAGGCAAAATCAACTGCGAAACTCCATCTTCGCAACTGCCAAGCAGTTGGGCTCAAATACCGTCCGCGGTATACCTGCGAGCCAACCGGTACCGCTACTCCTGGACCGGAGGAAGCTAACGCTAGCCAGCTAGTCATCTTAGCTGAAAACGTCGAAGTGAAAGAGAGTGGTCCCCATCGATTCATCTGAAACCTCGCCAACACTACCGATCAAAATGAAGCCTCAAGACATCGTCGCCGGGAAGACAAGCCTGTGGATCTTCGGGTACGGGTCGCTGGTGTGGAAGCCCGACTTCAAGTACAAGAGGAGCAAGGTCGGCTACGTTCAAGGCTACAAGAGACGTTTCTGGCACGGAGACAACTTCCACCGCGGGAACGACCAGTTGGTAAGATGCTTAATGTTTCTGTTTGTTTGTTTTTCTGTTTATCACCATGGTGTTTTGCTTCCACTGGCGCAGCTGGCTGCTGTTTGTCGACTGTTTGGCTCACACTGCATTAGGCGTTGTTCATGACGTGACCCATTTCTCTTCCTCCCCTCTGCAGCCCGGAAGAGTGGTGACGCTGATCGAAGATGATGACGTAAGTGGAAAGCCCTACTTCCTATTGGTTGCTATGCGAGGCTATGGAAACTGCAGTGGGGTTTCCAGGCTTAAGGAAACTACCTGGGGGAATAACAAAACATGTTTTTTTTCCTCTTCTCACAGGCGAGCACTTGGGGTGTGGCGTTCGAGGTGACGGGATCTCAAGTCGAGGAGTCCCTGAAGTACCTGAACGTGCGCGAGGCGGTCTGCGGTGGCTACGTCACCAAGATGGTGGATTTCTTCGCTGAGGGGGAGAGCCAGCCCCCGGTCCAGGCGCTGCTGTACATAGCCACCACAGACAACCCCCTCTACCTGGGGCCGGCCAGCCCGGAGGAGATCGGCATCCAGATCGCCCTGTGCAGAGGGAAGTCGGGCCACAACCTGGAGTATCTGCTCCGGCTGGCCGAGTTCATGAGGAGCAGCTGCCCGCACGTGGAAGACCATCACCTGTTCTCCATCGAGGCCGCAGCGCTGACCGTGGTGTCCTATCTGTTAGCAGCCCAGTAGCTCGTACCCTTTGTCTCACTAGCTTATAAAGTGGATGAATACACACTACACTGAGGCTTTTCACCTGTCATGCCAGTTTACTTATGTTTTATGTTGTGAGATGATGCGTCACACTACCATCCAGTGTACTTGAATCCATTGAATGTTACTGAAGTGATAATGAAAGGGAAGCATGATAATAAGTGTTAAAAAAAACAAAGCTAGAACATGACCTCATGTTAACGTTGCAATATTACATGCTACATGTTTGTAAGTTTTACAAAATGTGTAACTGAATTGTTGACTAAACATCTGCAATTTTTTTTTAATGCACACTTTTGTTTTGCACAGTTCAGATTCCATCCAGACGGTAAAGTAACTCACTGTGGTAGTTGAACCTGAAACAGCTGATGTGAAGTTATAGACCTGGTTTTTAAAAAGTTAAAAATGGAAACTTTTTTTTTTAATCCACTTTAAAAGAAAACGCCAATAAAAAGTGAAAAGAATTCCTTTGTGTTTCGTGCCTTCCAGTAACTCTGTGAGCCAGTGGGTTGAGAGTTCTTGGGACCAAGAAATTTATCACTTTAGTGCCAGCTACCATCACATTCGCTGATTGCGGTGAGGAAAATGTTGGCAAAATGAAATGGTGCAATGCATCTAATGTGCCAAATATGGAAAGGCACAAGATAAAAATGTCTGACTTTTCTCTACTTAACTCCTTGGAACTTTAACAACAAAAGTATCTCCACACTGAGGTCATATAACTTGTGAGGAAGGAGACTTTGATTAGTTTTAAGAGTCACACTAAAAAGTTAGGAACCACCAACAGGAAATATGGTTATAGATATCCCATATTGAGATATATCACCTGCATACGATCATGCCACATTTGACAACTGAAATGGGCCTGAGCCTCATTCCAAGAAGCAGGTTTACAGGGATACAACTGGCTAGATAACTTTCCAGAGCAAAACCTGGCACTGGTCTTTCTACGTCAGTCCGTGTTCCAGGTTTGACTGTGTTGCAGATAGTCCTTTTTGGCACAAGCCCCTGCAGTATACACATACACAAACATACATAGGACGCTCCCAAACATTGGCCAGAGCAGATTGTACCTTGGATGTGATTCAAGTCAGGAGTCTAGGTGCAGAGGCTTATATAACGGCTGGCCGGGAACAAGCCCAGACCTGGAAGTCCTGTGTTTACAGTCTGCTCCGTGGTCATGTCAGAGTGCACCAGGAAGAACATGCTGCTGAGGGGGCTCATCGAGATCAAATCTGAGCTGGCCCTACACCGAACCATGTGAAAATATATGGACGTTAATGCAGGTGCGCGTCAGAGTCTTGACTTCTTATATCTTTTGCAATGCTTAAAATATCAAATACATAGCTTGACTGGGTTGTTTCTGTACATTTCATTCGGGTCATTATGTACAGTGTATTTGGTAAATGGTCAGTTCACCTAAATTACAAAAAAAAAAAAAAAAAACTTTCTCACAAATGCATTGCTGCTACAAGCCTTGCATTTCCACCATCCCCAATACAATGGAGGTGAATGGAATTTGGTTTCTGCTGGTCGTAACAATGAAAAAACTAATTTAGAAAACTCAATAACAACATGTCTTTCCAAAAACAATGTCCCAGTTATTGAGCTCTCACTGCACAGTTTTCATGGGGACTTCAGCAGAAAGCGGTTCCAATGAAAACCGTCAGCAGCGAGGTCTGTAGATTATTTTGACAGGGAAATTGTTTCTGGAAAGACTACAGTTGAATTTTTGAATGGTGAGAGCAAACAAAATTAGGACTGGATGTGACCTGCGGGTGCATAGGGAGGCCTTCCAAATGAGATCTTATTTTTGAATGTTGAATGTCTAATATAGAGAAGCATTTGGAGTATTTTGTTCAAAAAAAAAGTGTGATTTTGAATTGTAAACCAAAGCGAAAATGTGGTCGGTGAAGAGATTGACCTTCAAATTTCAGTGACTTTTTATATCTCAGGTTCCAAAATAAGTGCGTAAACATTTAAGATCTATGATTGCAGATGTTATTGGGTGTCAGGAGTCAGTGCAATATTATTTAACATGGCAAAGGGAACAGAACAGGGGCCCTGGATCTTTACAGGACAGCTGCCAAAGACCACAGAATTATGGTTTCAAAAAAGCCACAGTTGATTCAATACCTCTGCGATAGTCTCAACAACAATTGTGCAAAGCTGCGTAATCTGGAGAATGAAACACAAAACCTGGACCAGCATGCAATAGGAGAAAGTAATATAGTCTGATGTGTTTTATGCAGAAGGGTCAAAGGATTCCCTTCAGCCCTATTGGTCAGGTTTCCATTATTTTATCCATCTTTTACATACCTTGTGCTAATCTATTGTCCCAAACAGCCATGCAGATTACTATAATGAACACAAAAAATAACTGGAATTAAGCAGAAAGACTGATTTAGCACTCCTTTATTTTCATTTGGCTCCTCCTGTTAGTAAAATGGCTGATGCATTTCTTCATATGTACACATGACCTATAAAAATAGACAGGCAAATGAGGGAAAAGCCAGAGGAAATGTCGCTCTCATCATTATGTACATCAATATAGAACAGCATATTTTAATCACACTATTAACACAAAACAAACAAACCTATAACAGATGTAGTGCTCAACTCAGGACACTGATGCAAATCTTTTTTTTTTTTTTTTTCCTAAAACATCAATGACATCAAAGAGAACCACAGACTTCTCATCACAAAAACAATTTCTGAAAAGTAAAAAATGGCTTCAATACAATTTACACTGTTTAACAGCTGAACATCCCATTCGCAACTATGGTGAATTGCCCATTTTTAATATAACTCAAATAACTTAAATATTAGACAACCAAATAATCTGAGTGAATTCATAGATTTACTGTTAGCAGCATCAACTGGTGCCCCCTCATTTTGGAATATATGTTTTTTTTCATCATCATCCATTCATTCATTTACCCATTGGACAAAAAATATATAATCAATTTTCATTTCCTTCTGTGCGGGAATACATTTTATGGACAAGAAATTTTTCAAGATGCTGAGACCTGCCATGTTTGTATGGGTACTGGCATCTTTATTACAAAAATAAGAGCTTTAGTAGAAAAGCTGTAGACATATTGTTTGGTAAAGTGTGGGTTGGTAAGGTATGGGTTCACATTAAGCTCTGTGAAATGCAGAATCTTCCACCAGTTTGCATTGAGCATATCTACAGAACAATTAAATAACCTAATGTACATGTATGAGAATCGATAACATCCAAAAACGGAAGACGCGGCTCAGTGCATTTGACGGAAACTCCTTTGCCTCCCTAACCTGGCAATCGCAAGGATTTCAAAGCCCTTTACGCTACATGCGTTGGTTCACGCCTGTTGTAAAATCACACCTAAGTAGCACATCAAAAGAGCTTCCTGTCATGGATAGAAAAGTACAGTTTTGTCTTCTCAGAAAGCACTTGGAAATACTCGTCACAATGCGAACAAAAATACTCAAGGCAGATTTTGTCCACCGACCCGGACACATTAAAATAAAACTGAACCGAGGAAATGGGGAGGCTGGTAGGGACTGTACCTTCAAATGATATTGTGTGTGTGTGTGTGTGTGTGTGTGTGTGTGTGTGTGTGTTTGTGTGTGTCTGTGTGTGTGTAGGTGTGAGGAGGGTCATTTTAGTTGCTGAGCCAGCAGACACAGCATGGTCCTCTAGGTAGTGAGCCTCAGTTACTGTATATTCCCTATTCAGTCTAGGTGAAGGGCGTCTGTGGGGATCACAGTGAGAGTAGGTCAGTTATCTCTGTGTGTGCGTGTGTGTGTGTGTGTGTGTTCTATATTGAGACAGTTGTGCGTGTGTGTGTGAGGGCACATTCATGTGTGTATGAGTGCATTATCGAGCCCCAGGACCACCAGGGCCCTTGCCTTTCCTGACTGCCCCGTGGCTGCTGTGGTGGTGGTGGTGGCTGTGGGCCAGCTGTTTCTGGGGGCTCGGGGTGGAGGTGCCTCCTTTGGCCTGGGGAGACGAGCTTCTGCTGGGGTTGAAGGCTGGGCTGGTACCAGACCGGCCCAGGGAAGGCTGCAGGGGACTGGATGCAGAGAGCCCTGCTGGAAGGAGGGACAGACATGGGCATGGTTAGTCTCTAATGGAACAAGCAGTGCCCCAACTGAATACTACATTCTAGCTGTGTACAATATATGAAAGTCTACATTTTCAAATACCTCAGTGGAGAGAAAATTCCATGTTAATGTGTTAATAAATTCAGTATTATGTTCATTTCCACAGCACTAATTCCATCAGTACAAGAGTGTTACACTTTCCCCGGTTGATGTTTGGTTACCATGAATGAAACTCGACACTTCCTCCAGAATCTTCACATTGAAAGCACAATAGCCTTCACTTTAAAACGTAGGATTAAAAAAGAAAAAAAAAACATCAGGAGGCGTCGAGTTTTGTTGATGGTAGCTTAACATCTATCAGGAGTACAGCAGAGAAGAAAAGAGTTTAATTAATTGAGTATGAAGACATCATTTCTGTTAAAAAAGAGAAACTCAGAGCGGCAGTGGGGAGTATAACATGACTGTTGTTCTGCTGATAGACTTTTACATCCAGAGTTTTACATCATACTAGATTTACCATGTGAGCTCATGTAGTAGACTACAGTTAATTCAACAGTTCCCACTTTGTATGCAAATTGACGATCAGTTTAGAAGTGTCTCTCTGGCATTGTAACGCCCAGAACAACAAAAACACTGAAAAAGAAGCTTTGAGAATGATGTTAGGCCAGGTCAGCAGAAAAGACCACAAACACACAGCACTACGTAGTTCACACAAACCCTGTTTCTAAAATTCGGCTAATAAAGCCCTTTCTCTACAGTAAATAAAGGCCATATAGCAACATAAAAGTTCTTTCTTTTAGATTTTTGTGCAGGAGAGACGTGGCCCGCCAGTGTCCATCCATTTGTGAGAAAGTGTATTCAACATTCACTAACCTTTAGAAACACTGTAACCGTAAGCAGCGTAAGCTGCTGCAGACGCAGCTGCTGCGCCGGCCATAGCTCCCGCCATGGCTGCTGCGCTGCCCGCTGTCGACTTGCGCCCGCGTCCTTTCCCTCCAGACTTTGCCCCGCCTCCTGATCCTTTAGGCCGCCCCCGACTCCGCCCAGACCTGCCTCTGCCGGGACTGATGGTGTCTGAGGTTGAAACACCTGAAAATCAGACACATGTTTTTGTCCTATTCTTTTTTAAAAAAAATTTTTATAACTGTTTCAGTACAAGGATGGATAGATAACCATATACTGGAAATATACACTGGCAGACAGTACAGATATCAAGTTAGGCAGGAATACACAGCCCTGGCTTGGCCTTAACCCAGTCCTTCAAAGATACCAAAATTTATGTTTGACTGTAATATATAGGAATTATTACACATTAATAATTACTCATCATTACCTAAAGTACAGGTTCAAGCAGAAGCTGAAACACTACTCTCAT